TCCCTCCCTCCTCCGCCCACTCCGGGCATCATGGGGCAGGGAGAATTTGGGGGGGGGGGTCATTGCTGTCTCCCCTCCCCAGCCGCTGGGTCCTGGGAAATGGGGGACTCTCGCTGTCTCTCCCCCCCCCATTAGTCCTGGCGCTGTCTCCTCTCCCCCGCCGCTGGGTCCTGGGAAATGGGGGGCCCTCGCTGTCTCCCCCCCCCCCCCGATTAGTCCTGGCGCTGTCTCCTCTCTGCAGCCCCCGCTTTCTAGACTTTCTGCTCTCCCCCTCCCCAAATAGATGCCAGCCCCTTTCCTGAAACCCCTAGGGGTCATTGCTGCCTCCCCCCACAGCCACCGGGCCCTGGGAAGTGGGGCGGCCTTTTGCTGACCGGGAAGTGGGGGTGGGGGCTATAGCTGCCCCCCTCCTTGTTGTTGGGACTGTCTCTTCTCTGCAGCTCCCTTTCCAGGTTAACACCCCCCACCCAGCCCCTTCCCTTCCCTTCCCTTCCCTTGTGCATAAGTGTTGAGTGCCCCCCCCTTGCATAAAAGGGGTGTTTGCAACGGCGGAGCCCCAAAACTTGTGGGGAGGAGGAAGGAGCGCTCCTAGGGAAAGTCCCGATGCTGCTGCTTGCAGCCCTCGTTGGGTTTCTGTCCCCCCCCCGTGAATTGTACGGGTGGGGGTTGTCTCTTTGCTCCTAGTGGCGATGCACGGCCTGGCCTTGGCCAGCGCAGGAAAGCTTGATCCTCTTCTGTCATTTTTTTTTTTGGGGGGGGGGCCGGTAAACTTGTTCCTCTTTTGTTTTTTTTTTTTTTGGGGGGGGGGTGTCTTGCATTTGAAAGGGATGCTTTGGATGCTCCCCCCCATCCTCTGTCTCCCTCGGGGTTGTTTCCTCCTGGGCTTGCCCCCCTGTCATGTAGCAAAACCGGGGCCTTCCTTGTCGATAATTGCCCCCCCCCCAATCTTAAAGGGGGAGGTATTGCATTAAAAAGTCACTTTCCTTTGGGGGGGGGTGAGTTGCTAATGGGGTTGTGTTTGTGTGGGAGGGTGCAGATATACAGTTCATAAAGGAGCAGGACTGAACTCTTTTTTTGGGGGGGGGTTTAATCTCTCGTCAACATCCTGTAGTTCTTTCCTGGGCGCTTTTAGTAAAAATGTGGCGGGGGGGGGGGGGGCGGGGGGGGGCCCAGACGGAGTGTGGCCCCCTGCCAGAAAAAAAAATCTCAAAAGGCGGAGGGTGTGTGCATTGAAAAGTCACTTTCCCTTGGGGGAACTGAACTGTTAATGCATTTGTGGGGGGTGGGCTATTGGGGGGGGGGAATGCATGTTCAGAGTTCATAAAGCAGCAGAAATTAGCCCTTTTGGGGGGGGAGGTGGGATGTTCTCTGCAACTTTCTGGTTCCCCACCCGGGCACCTTGCCTTCCCTCCTCTAGTGCCACCCAGGACAGGAAGTGGAAAGAGGGATTCTTCATCCGCTTGAAAGCGCGCCTTGGCGGGAACCGGTGGCGCTGGGCTCACATAACATGCACAGTTGAGCAAGCCATGCTTAACACGCCCTGACTTATGCATAAAAGGGGGGGAGGGTTGCGCCAAGACTGTGGTTTGGGCATGTTGGCAGATTACAAGCTTTGCCCTGCTTTTTGGCGCCTCCGGGAGGCACACGCTACCTTTCGATGGAGGCCATCCCTTCCGGGAGAGGGAGGGGGGTGTCGTGGGCCACCCCGTCTTGACAGTCACGCCAAATAATTACAGGTTGTGCGTTTTCGTTATTTCCTCCTACGCCGAATACCTTTGTCCTGGCCGCTTTGGCCTGCCACGTTATATGACCCCGCTGTGCCACGCTCCCTCCCACCCCCAGATTTGTTCCCGACAACGTGGCGAACTAGTCTCCTTTCTGGAGGGTGGCCGTGGTAGAGTAAAGCCGTGGATTGCTCTTTCCCATCCCCGCAGTTAACCTTTTTGAAACTTTGATCTTATCTCTGGAACTGTAGGTGAGGGACTGACAGCGGTCATTCAGGAAGGAGACTCCCGAAATAACTTGGTTTTCTTTCCTTTTCTTCCCCCCCCCCAAAGAAGGGGAAAAAATAGATTTGGTGCCCCTCAGTCGTGGGTCTCGTCTTTGCTCCTCCGATTAATTTACGCCTCTCTTTTCTCTCTTCCTCTCCGTGTGGCTTTGCTCCCGAGGCCAGCGTTACATGAGCTTCCAAGCTCGTTTGCAAAATGGAGGCCAGAAAGGTGTGCTTATTAGAAGCGAGCTAGTTTTTCCGTGTCTAGAGGCCGGAAGAAGGAAAGCCTTCCTTCTCTTCCAGCGAGCTAGTTTTTCGTGTCTAGAGGCCGGAAGAAGGAAAGCGCTCCTTCTCTTCCTCCTTTTTTTTTCCCCTTTGCAACTTCGTATTAAGTTGCCTGCAGACCGGCCTTCCACCTGGAAGGCGGCTCCGCTGTGTGTCTTTCCCGCCGTTACTGCCGCTGTGGCTTCTGAGGCCTACCGCTGTAAGCGTGCGCCGCATGGCCATCTGTTTGCGTATCCGCTTCCTCTGAGGGCGATGCAAGCAGTGTCCGCGCTGCTATTGTCTGCGGCCGGCCGGCAGTCTGGGGGCGTGGGGGGGGCTGGCGTGTATTTTCCTCCTGGGAGGTGCTCTTTTTAAACGAAGTCTTGTCCCGGTTTTAAATCCACAGCCTTCCTGTAACTCCCGCTTATTGGCGAGAGCAAAGAAGTGTGCGCGCACACAAAAGCTTATACCTTGAATAAAACTTTGTGGCTCTTAAAGGTGCCACTGGACTCAGACTTTGTTTGGTTGCTTCAGACCAACACGGCTACCCACCTGAAGCAAACCCTTCCGGTGGACTTTGTTCAGACTAGAGTTGCTTCGGTTTCCTTCCATCACTGTGTTGTCACACACACAAACACACAGAGTCGTCTTCACGCCATCTCAGCTCATTCCATGCCTCTTGTGGCGGAGGGGAAGCACACAGTCAGTCATTCCGTTCCAGGAAACAACTCTAAAGAGCCAGTTTGGTGTAGTGGTTAAGTGCGCGGACTCTAAATCTGGGAGAGCCGGGTTTGATTCCCCACGCCTCCACTTGCACCTGGCTGGATGGCCTTGGGCAAGCCATAGTTCTGATAAGAGCTGTCCTTGAAAAAGAGCAGTTTCTGTCAGAGCTCTGTCAGCCCCACCTACCTCACAGGGTGTCTCTTGTGGGGAGGGGAAGGGAAAGGAGTTTGTAAGCCGCTCTGAGACACCTTTGGGTAGTGAAGGGCGGGGTATAAATCCAATCTCCTCTTCTCTCCTTCTTCTTCTTCTTCTTTGACTGTCATCTGTTTTAAAGAGAAGTTTTGTTTAGCTGCTTCGTTTTGCTAACAAAACTTGCCTGTAGGAAGCTGGCGCATGGGTTTAGATGCTGCTTTCTCCGTACATTTGCATTTGTAATTGGGGTGTGCGTATAACATACTTTGGCGGTCTCTCTTTTCCCCAGGGACATCTAATGGCTGATCTTAAGCTAATCAAAATTTTCAGGGCCTGTATGGGAATGAAGGACAGTAGTTCTTTTTTTTTCATCTGTCTTTGCGCATGGGATGTGGAGTCTTGGAAACACCAGCGTGAGCTTGGTGGTCAGATCCTTTACTAACAATGCCAGAAAGAGAGAGAGAAATTACAGAGCTCTTAATCTAGATTCAGGTCCAGTGTGCACAAGAAATCTTATGTCCAGGATTAAACTTGGTTGGTCTTCAAGGTGCCACTGAAACTTTGTTCTACTGCTTTTGTCCAACGTGACTACCCCTTTGAATCTATCTGAAGAAGTGTGCTTAAGCTTATACCCAGAAAGAAACTTTGTTGGTCTTAAAGGTCCCGCCGAACTCAAACTTTGTTCTACTTTTTCAGAGTGTAAGCTTTCAAGAGTCAAAGCTCCCTTCGTCTGAGCTTTTAATGTGTTGCCGTAAAGCCCAAGAATCACACGGCATCTTGAAGGTTAAGACAACCAGTTCCTCTGGACAGCCAGCAACAGGGCAGAGAGGCCGAGGCCTTCCGCTCATAAGAACATCAGAAGGGCCCTGCTGTGTCAGACCACTGATGGTCCGTCTAGTCCAGCATCCCGTCTCACACAGGGGCCAGCCAGTCCCTCTGGAGGGCCAGCAACAGAGCAGAGAGGCCGAGGCCTTCCCTGATAAGAACCTCAGAAGAGCCCTGCTGGGTCAGACCAGTGAAGGTCCCTCTAGTCCAGCATCCCGTCTCACACAGGGGCCAGCCAGTTCCTCTGGAGGGTCAGCAACAGGGCAGAGAGGCTGAGGCCTTCCCTGATAAGAACATCAGAAGAGCCCTGTTATGATTCCTGAAAAAGTAGATATTCTTTACAGTTCAAGTTAAGTTTCTCCCAAGTTTATAATAGTTGTAATCAATGTACCCTCTAAGCTGAGTTGTCTTGTAAGCAAAAATTGTTCTTTGTGAGCGTCTGGCATTACAGTTGTAAGCGAGCAATTGGGCTACGGCATAAATTAGTTTGCTCTGGAGCCGTCCCTTCCTGAGCTCAGACAAAAATGTGTGAGCCGTAGGCGAAGAAACTGTGTGCTAGCTCACACGAACTCGGCTTAGAGGGAACACTGGTTGTAATCCATGATTCATGATTTTCCCTTCATCTAGTCAGAAGTCCTAATCACGGTGGGTGTGATCCTCTCCCTCTTGGTATTGGCCCAAAATCTAGGTAGAAAACAACCTTTCACAGCACCCTTTAATCCTCTTGTGCCCAAATCACGTAGGATTGGAGCGGCAAGTGAATTTCAGCTGTGAAGTTTCCAGCTGGGATTTCTAAAGAGGCTCTCTTGCAAAATGGGGGGGGGGAAGCCCACGTTTTAGCAGCATGGCCTTTCTCTTAAAGGGAACTGTAATGATTTCATGTTTAACTGTGTGTGTGTCTTTAAAAGTTTGGTTGCGTGACTGTATGATAGTCTAGAGTGGTTGAAACAGGCAAGTGGTGTGATTGGTGAGTGACAGGGAGGGGGAGGGGTTTTGGAAGTGAGGCTGTGTGGAGGATATGTATGTCTATCAGGAGTGACAGAGATTTGACAGTTGATGAAGACAGTTGATGTTCAGTTAAGAAGTTTTGGTTCTGAGTTCTGTGAGAGAAGCAGGAGTTCAGTTAAGCTCTGTGTATGAAAGAAGTGAGAAGCCATTCTGTGTGAAAACAGTTAAGCTGTCTGTTGACGTTGTTCAGAGAAGAAGAAAAGTTATTAAAAAGTCTGAGTGACAGACTGTAGTGAACTTATAAGACCTTGAGTAAAAGGTTACAAAGTTACTTGAAACATCCCGGTCAGTAAGGGAGAAGCTTGTGAGAGACACCAAGCAATTGTTCAAATCATTCACATTACTGTTTACATTGTTCTACCCTCGTATTTATGCTTTAGTTAAATAAATCCTATTTCATTCAAGTCTGCCAGCTCTGAAAGAAATAAGTCTCAGGAAACACATAGACCCTCATGAAAGCCTAAAACCCTCGACCTACCTACCCAGAAATAGAGAAAGCATAAAGGTTTGGAAATCCTTTGTAAAATTTCCTGGTGGCAGCCGGATATATACAGTAAAATAAAACATAAAGAACACTTTTAAAGTAAAACCAGACCTCCCCAGTTAAGGGGTCGTCACAGGAACGCTTTCCCTAAGTTCTGCAAAGTTTGGAAACCGGGATGTAAAACTAGTCTCTTAGAATCATAGAATGTTAGAGTTGGAAGGGACCTTGCAGGTCATCTAGTCCAACTCCCTGCACTCTGCAGGAGCACAGCCGAAAGATAGCCCTACAACATACCCGAAAGATGGCCATCCAGCCTCCACTTGAAAACGTCCAGCGAAGGAGCATCCACCACCTCCCGAGGCAGTCTGTTCCACTGCTCAACCACTCTTACAGTTAGGAAGTTTATCCTGATATTTAGCCGGTAACGACTCCCTTGTAATTTCCACCCATTAGATCTAATCTTGCATTCCGGAGCAAGAGAGAATAGATCTGCTCCATCTTCTACATTACAGCCCTTCAAATACTTGAAGACTGCAATCATGTCCCCTCTAAGCCTTCTCTTTCCCAGGCTAAACAGATCCAACTCTTTCAGCCTTTCCCCATAAGACTTGGATTCCAACCCTCTCACCATCCTGGTTGCTCTCTTCTGGACACGCTCGAGCTTGTCAACATCCTTCCTAAAATGTGGTGGCCTAAACTGGACACAGGACTCCAGGTGAGGCCTGACCATAGCAGTATGTCTCAGAGTGGGGGGTGAAGAGCGGCTTGGGACCCCAAAGCAAAAAGAAAGTAGCCTTTCATTGGACATGTGAGCTCTGTTGGGGTGGGGCAGGTGTAGAGCTTCCCAGTTCTGTGGCAGAAAAGTGTTGCTAAATGGCGCCCTTTTGCCTTGGTTCCAGGGGTGGGTGGCATGTTTTGGTTTTTGAAGAAGAGATTGGATTTATACCCCGCCCTTCACTCGGAGTCTCAGAGCAGCTTACAAACTCCTTTCCCTTCCCCTCCCCACCACAGACACCCTGTGAGGTAGGTGGGGCTGAGAGAGCTCTTGACAGGAACTGCTCTTTTTCAAGGACAGCTCTTATCAGAACTATGGCTTGCCCGAGGTCATCCAGCCAGGTGCAAGTGGAGGAGTGGGGAATCAAACACGGTTGTCCCAGATTAGAGTCTGCACACTTAACCACTACGCCAAACTGGTTGGTTGGTTTTTGCTTGGCTTTTCCCCACATCAGTGGATTTTTGTGTTTTGTTAAGGGGGTGGCTCTGTCGAAAGCATCCAAAGGGAGCTACCCAAAGGGAGCTACCCATAGCCATTTTGAAATTGTCAACCACTTTATTGGATTGCTTTGTGAAAGAATTACAACACAACAGAATTTTGATAAAGATATCCCTCGAAACGAACATTGAAACTCGAGGAAGTTCGTAAAGCACTTCAGTGACTTGATGTTCTGACCTGTTGAAAAGGAAACCTTGGATTAAAGAAAGAAATCTTATCAGGGGAAGGCCTTGGCCTCTCTGCCAGAAGAACTGATTGGCACCCGTGTGAGACGGGATGCTGGACTAGATGGACCACTGGTCTGACCCAGCAGGGCTCTTCTGATGTTCTTATCAGGGGAAGGCCTCGGCCTCTCTGCCCTGTTGTTGGCCCTCCAGAGGAACTGGTTGAGGCCACTGGGTGAGACAGGATGCTGGACTAGATGGACCCTCACTGGTCTGACCCAGCAGGGCTCTCCTGAGGTACTTATCAGGGGAAGGCCTCGGCCTCCCTGCCCTGTTGTTGGCCCTCCAGAGGAACTGGCTGGCCCCTGTGTGAGACGGGATGCTGGACTAGGTGGACCTCTGGTCTGATTCAGCAAGGGCTCTTCTGAAATTCGTATGTTCTTAATGTTCCGTAACAATGTGCTTTTGTTTTTTCAACAGGCTGAAAGACCTGGAGAGGGGTGAAGATGGCCTCAGCGAACGGGTGAGTGTGTAAGAGTCTTTTTCCCCCCAAGGGAAGAAAACCCTTTGTCGGTTCCCCCCCTACGTCCAGCCTGTGAGAAGCGTTTGCGTGTATTTGTTTGCAGCCACGTAAAACATTCTATCCTTACGTTTAGGAGTGCATCAAAGAGAAGCTACACCTGATGCAGGGCTTCTTGCGAGTGGATATTCAGAACCAGCTGAAAGACCTGGAGGCCCAGCTTCACCAGGAGGAACTCTCGGAGGTGAATTATTGTTGCACTTGAGGGGGATTTCTTCTCTGTGTCCTGTTCTGATGTTGTTCTGTGTATTCCGTCTGCAGGCATCCTGTCCCCACCTTCCCTTCCAGGCGGCATAATTTTTGAAAACCCGTATCAGAATCCGTGCTTCGCGCCGCTTGTATTTCGGTGGCATGAATATGATTTTACGAATGTGATTTTTTTGGTTATTATTTAAAACGTTTTATTGTTCTGCCTTTCCACCTGAGTGGAACCCGGTCACAGCCCAGGTGGTCTCGCGGGCTCCCAAGTCCAGCGTAGTCCGAACAGTCCGAGGTCAGTTGTTGCCGTCGGAGAGCGTCCCAGAGCAGTCAGGCCGGTCCCAAGTGTCACAGGAGCAGAGTCGGGAGTTGTGGTTAGAGATGTAAAATTTCCGGAAATGTTGAAGCTCGGAAAAAAACCCGTTTTTTTTCCGGGGGGAAACGGAAATTTTCGGAAAAATTGAAAAAAATGCTACATTAGCATTTCTTTTGTCTTTTCTAGATTGAAAGTCATTCTGTTACTTTAGGAACATAAAATATGACTATGGACATTTTTACTTGGCATGAAATTATCACAACTAGCATATTAAAAATATAGTGTATCCAAACAATTATTACAAACAGAATACCCACCCACATGCAAAAACAAAACTGAAACTTTTTTATTTTCTTCTGACAATCGCACCTCCTAAAGGAAGAAATGCATCTTGTTCTTGCATTGGAGAGTTCAGTTTGTAACCTAGGACTTACTTGTCCTCAGTGCACAGAAATTAGATCAATCTGATACAATATATATATATTTTAGAAATGATTTGGAAAGTATTTGAACATCTTGTCTTAAAATATTTTATTAAACATGTTAAAATAAAACGTTCCATAATCAATTTTTTTTTCTTTTTTCAATTTTTCCAATTTTTTTGGGGAAAAAAGGCTTCAGGAAAAAAACGGGAAAAAAACATTTTTTTTCCTGAATTTTTCCAATGGGCCTTCACATCTCTAGTTGTGGTTGCAGGATCCACTGTCAGGGGACGTGTTGCTTCCACAGGTTGGCCACAGCTCCCACCCAGCTTGATGTAGCCTTTCCCTAATTAGCCTTAGCTGCAGCTGGCAGGTTAGCAGGGCTCCTGCAATGACTCATCTTGTAACTGTCGACGGGCCATTAGTCTTTTACTCTCATACATAGAATCATAGAATGTTAGAGTTTGAAGGGACCTTGCAGGGCATCTAGCCCAACCCCCTGCACTCTGCAAGAGCAGGGCCGAAAGATAGCCCCACAACATACCCGAAAGATGGTCATCCGGCCTCTGCTTGAAAACGTCCAGCGAAGGAGCATCCACCACCTCCCGAGGCAGTCTGTTCTACTGCTCAACCACTCTTACAGTCAGGAAGTTTCTCCTGATATTAGCCGGTATCGACTCCCTTGTAATTTCCACCCATTAGATCTAGTCTTCCAATCCGAACCAAGAGAGAATAGATCTGCTCCATCTTCTACATGACAGCCCTTCATCTGTCTGTGTTTTTGCCATTGCCTTCTGATCTTAGCCCTTCTTCATTCTGAGTGGGGGGGGGAGTCGTGGGTGCCTCTGGAGGTACTTGCTCCAGCCCCATAGCTTGCTAGGGGTTTTTTGTGTAAGGGGGGCCCGCCAGCTAATTAAATCGGGGGGAGCCTCCCTCTCCCCCCCCAGTAAGGGCAGCCCTTCTCTGTGCAGCATCTGGCTCCCTTCCTCCCGCCCCGAGGAGCCCCAGTGCCCCTCCCCATGTTGCCGCACCAGGAGCAGCCTGACCTCCACCCTTGACTCCCTCCCGGGGCCAGGAGAGGCGAGGCGCGTGGTTCCTGGGCTGGCTACAAAGCCACGGCGTGTGGGCGCATTGGCGCACCCACTTGCCTCCTCGCCTTGCCTGGCCAGGCTGACCTGCTGCTGGCAGGCAGGGCGGCAAGCGTCTCTCAGCCACGCCTGCTGCTTCTTGTGTCGCCACTGCTGTGTGTGCCGCCCTCGTCCTCCCCACTGACAGGCCATTGGGGGGGGAGCCAAGGCTCTGAGAGGGAGGCCCCACAAAAATGACTGGGGGGGGG